CTGGTTAAATGGCAATTATTATATACCAACACTGTGCTGCACCCATGCAGCTAAAAGTGGCTGAAGTGGAATACTCACTGGCTGATACATATTCACATCATTTCTTGGCCAACCCATCTGCTCTATCATTTCTGCTGCTTCTTTTATCATACATACCATGGTTCTCTGAAAAGGCCCAACTTCCCCACTTCTGCATGTTCTCTTCACACGATCCCTTCCCAAGTCTCCAACCCTGGGCCTGATTGAATCTACTTCCATTATAAATAATTTCCTGAATTGCTGTACAAATAAATTCTCAAATAACAATTTAAAACAAAATAGAACATCTAAGTTGAAGGAAGAAAGTGATATGTTTTTATTAAATGAACAAGGTACAATATTTCACTTGGTGATTTCTGTCTCCTTAAGCTTTGGTACCACATTTTTAAATATCATAATTATTTTAATAAAATACTTTATCTTTTTTAGTGAAGAGAAATTATTGAGTTGAAAAGTGTGTTATATTCTCTTTAGCTCACCAAACCATGTTTGAGAAACAGAAATATTTCATAGGGTCTGTTAGTCACCTGCTGCCCACTTGCCTTATTAAATTTTAATCAGAAATAAAACAGTCTTGGTCTATTGGTTTTATATGGAGAGAGACAGCAAACATTGCATATAATAGCACCATTAACTAAGAAGTTGGTAAAGATCTTATCTGGCTATATGTTAGAAAAAATAGCTTGGCTCGAGATAGAAATAATTAAATTAAGTATACTTTTCAATAGAATGGATTATGGCTATTAATAACAACCTAAGACTTGTAGGCCAACAAAATGTATATTTGATATGCCAATTTTAAAACTTCTATTGTGTTCCTCATGGGTTTCCACACTATTTTTTATAGTGCATGGGATGTAACCCTAGCTCACAGAGTGACAGTGTAGTAGTTACATGATATAACGTTATCGGTTTTAATTAGAAGTTTCTCTTAGCAATAAATGCTGATGGGGCAATAAAAATGTCCTAATTTCCCTTGAGAATTTGTAGGAGACAATCTTCAAATGCTCAGTAATTCTGCTCTACATTTTATAAATGGCAAGTGAATCATGAAAGGTCATCTTGCTGTCAGACTGATGTGCTGCTTATTTTAATTTTAATCTCTGCCTCCACTTAAAGGAAGTTACCTATAAAATGAAGAAATTTTCATTAAATCTACATAACATTTTATTATCCTGACCTTTTCCCATAAGGAAAGTCTATGAATTACTTAATGATGGAGAAAGATTTGGGAATTGGAGGTAACAAGCATCCATTCATTTTGTTATCTTTACTGCATAATTAAATTGTAGCAAATAAACCCTTGCTTTCTTTTCCTCTCCATATAGTGAACTTTTAACACTTATATTCGTAAGAAGGAAAATCTAGAATTTTATATTTTGTCTTTAATCAATTACAGTTTGGACATTCATCCCCAAAGAATGTGATACATGAGGCTTGAGTGGTTTCAAAGACCAGCAAATGCCCTGAAATACTCAAAAGTTGAGTAATGCACACTTTTTCCTGTGCATTACTGATATTTTGACTAAATATTAAAATTGAATATCAAATGACTCAATTGGTCTCATTAAACAAGTTTCAGTTTTTGTAAAGTAGTTGCACTAGGCATCTTAGAGATATCCTTATTTTTTTATACCCATGACTTATAGATGTTCTATATTCAAAGCATAGCAAAGGTCATTCGCAACTGCACAAATGGATATGGGATAATCAGTTATGCCCCACATGTACATATTAGCCAGCATGACACATGCAGTTGTGTTATTGGAAGGCACATAATATCCTAACATCTTTTAACAGTTCTAACATACCATGTGTTTAATTGGCAATTTCAAAATGAATAAGGTTATCTAAGAGCTTTTTATTTTGATCAATCGTTAAGGCAGGTATTGATAACAAGCTTGTCTGATAGTCTTTGTGTCTAAAGCGTTCTGTATTTGACCTAAGATTTGTACTGGGACTTTCCTCCAGTTGGACTTCTACTATAAAGCTACAGCAGCTCCAAGGCTCTTGTAAACTACCAAACTCAAGATGTAATTCCTGTTGTGCCTAATAACAATTTACCAAATAATATGGAATACTCACAGTAAATGATCTGGAAATAAATACTGTGACTTAGTTTTCCACTGGCAAAAATGAATGGGATGAGCAGACAATCTCTCTCTCTCAGTTCTCTAAAGGAATCTGAATGTACTCAGCAGCAGACACTGGAGAATTTGCCTAGGGATTAGTTTTAAAACAGTATTTAGCCCCTCAGAAGAGTATATTTCAGATGACTATATATACACTGTACAATAGTAATGATAATAATTATCCTTCTGTTTGTATTTTTAATAGTGTCTGTTTGATACAAAGCACTTTAATATTATATAGACTACATTAAGGAGGAGGTGTCCAATTGGTATGATGTTTTACTCTGTTTAAACATATCCCTAGTGTTCTTTTATTTTTGTCAAAATATAGTAGGGGGCCATGACATTCTTTCCTTAGCTACTCTATGGGTGTATTTAGTATCTCACTTTCCACGTGTCTCTTCTGATTCCCCACATTGTAGAGAACTGGATGACTCTGGATGGCAAGGCTGAAATTAAGTACTCTATTTGCTGACTACATTTTCTTGTCAAAGTAATGTCTTTTCCTTCTTGGGAGGAAGACCTTTGAATTTTTCCATGAAATTGAAGTGTCTTTTTTTTTTTTAATTAATGTTTCATTTTTGTTTGTTTGTGTTTATGCTTCTCTTGTTTCTATTGCAGTTTGGCCTTGGTATTACCAACCTACAGTTTTTACTATATAAAAGCCAAAATAGAAGAGACAATAACTCAGGCCAGATGTAAGTACTGTGAAAGTGACTTCAGGGTCTATTTGTTATTTCCTAGTATCAGATGATTAAATACGTCTAGATTTTGGAATACCTAAGGCTTATTATGTATACATTTTAGTAGTTGTTATTACCAAATCTGCAGCAATGATTCTAACCCATTCCAAACATGCAAGGAACAAGAAATATTCTACATGGATAGAATATGAGCAGGTACCCCAGTCTTACTGGCAGTCCCCACCACCCTTCCCTGCCTTGCTATGTGCTCATAGAATCATTGCAGTGCTGTGTCCTCCATTGCTGTCGTTTTAAGGGTCGCTAGCTGGAGCAGAATGTTTCACATGCTAATCATCACCTTAGTCTCTACTCTCATGGCATTGTGCTAGTAAAGCTTTTCCTTTTCCTTTTCTTATCTTTCCTTTAGTATTATTATTGTTTGCATTTGGCTAGAATAATATGGTGCTTCACATCTTCCACATCTTCTATTTTGTTTGAATAAATTAAATTGCACTGGTCTTTGGCTTTGGTTTGGTGATTAACTTTCTTTTCATAATCAAAATTAATGTCTCAGTAACGCAAATAGATAAGTTTTTTTTTTTTAAGAGCATCATTTGGAATGGAGAGTAATTATTAACACTAGTGCATATTTCAAGTCATTGTTAATCTTTGTTTTGTTTTGGGTGACTAGATTTTATAACCTAAAATGACCATCATATCATTTGCATATTGCTCAAGTATGGCTAACAACCTAAAATTTTTCTGTGAGGATGAAGTAAAAGATAAAAAATACCCCCTGCAAAAATTATATATCTTTTACATCTGATCCTAAAGTAAACTATAGTTTCTTTCATTTCTCTGTTAGTTCATTTTTGCTCTCTACAGGCCTGGTGTTCATAGGACATTAAATATTTCATTTATATTTCCACTTTCACCTGATAGATAGATATGATGGTCCTTTAACAACCAGCAATTCTGCATGAGCTAGTCCTTCACTTGATAAATGAGGGGATAACTAGTGAGTCTTGGATAAATGGTAAATGCTTCTGTTTATAGGCTGACGTCATTGGTATCGCACCTGCATTAACCACTCTGCAAAACAGACCCTTGAAATAACCACAGCACAGAGAGGGTAATCTCGTAATAGTATCTAGTAAATATCGACAGGACATACTTTTTCAGTCTTCCAACAAATATGTCTTTTTTTCCAGACTACAGCTGTACATAAATGAACCTTTGATCTATGCACAATATTTTTATTCAAGAAAGTCATTGAATAAAATATTGTTTGTGACCCCCTTTGCTTTACCCTCTTTTTTTTGTTTCCCTGCTTTCTCTTTCTGATGGATTTTCACAGCAAAAAAGGGCAAAATGAAGGGCAAGTATTTTCTTGTTGCTCAATTTCTTTCTGTTTAGTACACTTGACATCTCCAGTGATATTTTCATTCCTATTGGATATTATCCTTTGTGCTTCTCATTTGCTAAATTTTCCTCCATGATCACTCAAATTTTAGCAACAAAAAAGGGGGGAAGAATATGCCTGTATTTTTACATGCAACCTGGTTCACATTCAAGTTTTTTTCCTAGACTTAAAATCTTTTGTCTGTCTTTCCACTTACTAATCCATATCTAATATGAAGAGTGTTATTAATTTACTAAAGGCATTAATGAGTTTAATAAAATCATTTTTATCATATATTGGTAAACTTTTTATATTGATATTTTAAATATCTGATGTAACATTCATATTAATATCTTTTTAAAAGATACTTGATTACAGTAGGGTTCTGAAATTGTTCTGAATTACAGTAAGGTTAGTAAATGGGAAAATTATAGACATAACATTTTCTCTGATATAACTGTTATAATCCATGTTATAATTTCATTATTATGTTGGGAAGCATTGAGGACCTTTATATTCATTAATGTCTTTCAATTTTAGGATGTAAGTAGTCTATTTTAAATTTTCTTATTAGGCAGTCTTTTTAATGTCATCTTCTTATTGTCATAGAATCTTGGGATGTATACTCTGAATGGCTTATCTAATTGCTTTTCCTGTGACATTATCTTTGCAGATTCAGAAACCCTGAAGCCAGATAATTTTGAAGAATCTGGCTATACATTTATAGCACCAAGGTTGGTTTTGTTTTCTTTTTTATATAACTCGCTATCAGTGGGTAGGCAGGCCTTCAACAACAGTTCTGAACTGGGGTCAAAACTGCCCTGGGGGGACAGGGTGGGTCATTGAAAATAAATAAATAAAAACTGCTCTGGGTTAATTCCATGTCAAATTATAAACCAAAGGGAAAAATAACTTTAAAAGTGGAACAGAATCTTGTTTATTTGTTCATTCTCTCAAATACTTATTGAACAATTACTGTGTGCTAAGCAACGTGCCGATTCAGAGATCCAGTGGTGAATAAGACAGGCATAGGCTTTCTTCTCGTGGAACAAACAGTGCATCCAACTATAATGCAAAATTGTATATTTCACCTGTGAGTATATAAACACAAAACAGTATGTATCACATCCATCTGTACATATGTGTACACATGGATATATACACATGTGTATTTATACACATGGCTAGAATGTTTTACTGTCATAATGGATTTTTTTTAATCTAACACAACTTTTTTGGAAAATATATGTACAGTGGCATTGCCTCACGTAATTTTTCAGACAGTCATTGTTTTTCTTTCTACACAATTTTAGTTCTCTTTCATATATAATCCCCCTTTCTCTATCCCCATGTACATCTTTAATTCCTACCTCTATTTTCTTGTAATTACTTGAAGCTATTCAATAATCAAAAGTGTATTTATATTTCTTTTCTCTATAGCAGACACATATATTAAAATTATATATGTTCTTGATGCACTCTCTATAGCAGACACATATGTTAAAATTAACATAATTCCCATTAATCTAGGCTTAATTATTGGAAAAAAATGATACAGAAGCCTGTAATGTTAATTTTTCACACTTACACTTCTTAAGCAAATGACTCCAAGAACCCAAAGAAGACTCATAAAAATTGTTCTGAATTATTTTTATTTCTACATGAGGAAATTTATGAATTCTGTTTCTACTTGAAATATATATAAATATATATATTCTCTAACTTTTTGAGAAATTCCTGTTAAAAAATATTCTTGGCTTTCGGAGTGACTCTACCCTTGAGAAGCTTCTCTTACTTGAATTTTCTTTAGCATTTGACACTGCTGATTATTCCTTCCTTTGGCACTCTTTGCCTTCTCTTACTTAATGACACAGTTCTGATTGTTTTACAGCCTCCTTGGCTGCATATTCATAGTCTTCTTTATTAGCTTCATTTCTTCAGCTGAATGCTTACGTGAGAGTGCTAGTCTAGGCTCTTTTCTCTTTTATTCTGAGACTACCTTCCCCCATTTATTCCCTGCCCACAGGTTAGAGTTATGGCTCTCAAATCTATATAATGACCATAACATCTAAAACAATATATATATGGTTATTGACATTATAATATAGGATCAAATATATCTATTTTCAGACTTCATATATATACTCTATATATTTCAATAGGAAACATTCATATCTCATGGAAACAATAGGAATATTGCTTCAGTATGCTTCAAATTCAGTGTCTTATAAATATTTGTCCCCTTTGGAAAGTAGTTCTTCCTGTGTTGCCTCAGTGAAGAAAATGCTATCCTCCCAATGTGCAATCTCGAAAACTTTAGTTGTCCTTGATCTCCCCTTTTCCCTTGTATCTAATTTCTAATCAATCACCAAGTCTTGCCAATTCCATTTTATGAATATCAAATATATCTTTCAATCTTACCTGCCTTTGTCCTAATCTGGGTCAGTTTCTTTTCTCACTTAAACTACTACAGCTGTCTCCTAACTGATCTCCCTACTTCCATATATCCCCCTTTCTTCCCAGTCCTGTCTATGCTCTGTAACCAGAGTTTTGAAAAGTTGAAAAAAATAACTTTTCTTATCTGCTAAGTACTAACCAATGATTCCATATTACCGTTACTATCATCTGTACTTTGTTTGTATCAGAGCTTTCAAATGCCCTGTCATCAGGTCCCGGGGTACCAATGTGACAGGGGCCTTAAATCAGGGGCCCCCATGCCTTAAATCAGGGGCCATCAAACTACAACATGCAGACTGGCTTCTTGTTTTATACATAAAGTTTTATTGGATCAGAATGATGTTCATTCCTTTATATATTGTCTTTGGCTGCTTTTGCTAGAAAGGCAGAGTTGAGTAGTTGTGGCATAGACTTTATGGCCCACAGAACCTGAATCATTTAGTATATGGCCCTTTGAGAAAATGTTTCTCAACCCTGCTTTATATTCTAGCCACATTAACTTCTCTCTGTCCCTAAATGTACTGTTTTGTATTTGTTTTGTTTTTTCTTTACCTTCCTTCTTCCACTAATTCCTCTTTTTGATATACACTGCACACACACTCCCAAATCCCAACTTTGAAGCTCCTTGATCTGGGAATTTCTTTCCCATCTTCGCTAGATTATGCATCCTTGCTGACTGCTTCAAGAATTCTGTATTTCTCTTACCAGAGCACTAGCTGTATTATATTTTATCTACTTTCCTGAACAGAGCCCTGACTGGATCCATTTGACTTACCATTTCAATATGCAACATCAAATCCATTGCTAGCATGTAGTAGGTGCTGAATGAGTATTTGGCAACTTGAGAATCTATAAATATATAAAGAATATTTTTCAAAAGCATATTATTAATAGCTGCAATCTTATTAGCACTTTGTGGACATAAGTAACTGAGCAACTTTAAGTTACTTTCAGTAGCTTAAAACTACTAAAACCAGCTTTAACTAGAAAGGAGAATATTCTCAATACTAAGGAGAACATTAACTAGAAAAAAGCAGTGCCCCACAGATTATTAACACAGCAAAATATAAGAAGAGATTGAAATTAATCTGCTATGCTGGCAAGACTCTCTCTCAGCTCAAATCTGTGTTTTCCTCTGGTCATCTCTCCCACTTATTCAGTGGCAGAATGTGCAGATTAGCTTTCTCAGCTTCACTATAAGACAAGATGGAAAACAGAGTAAAGTCCAGGTACACAAAGAGGATAAATGTGTCTCTCAATTCTAATTCCTAATTCACAGGCAATGCATTTTGTTTAGTCTAGCAGATATTATTAATAACATGTGCACCATTTTTGTGGCCTAAGTCACATTCCACATATATGTACAACCATCATCACAGTTAATTTTTGAAAATTTTCATCACCATAGAGAGGAACCCTGTGTTCTTTAGCTATTACCTCCCCATCTTCTCTCTCCGTTACCCCAGCCCTAAGCAACCTGTAATCTCTCTGTCTTTATGGCTGTGCTTATTCTGAATATGTCATAGGAATGGAATCATACAATATTTCACTTAGCATAATGTTTTCAAGGTTCTTCCATGTTGTAGCATGTATGAGTACTTTTTTTATGGCTGAATAATATCAATACAGCTGATTGTAAGGCTGACATTTGCATGTGTGTTTAGGGGAGGAGCAAATACCAGAGACGGGAGGAAGAAATGTAGCTTGTGGGACAAACCAGTGAATATCCACCTGAGTTAACATATATTAAACCCTTTACATGCTGGATTATGTTTACTGATCAAAAACAACTTTAGGAACCAGTTTTAGCACTTTCGGTAACCACGATCACCCTGCCACCCACTGTCATGGGAAGGTTCCTTTGGGACAAGAATTAGGGAGTGGCAATGACCTTGAGTTTCAAGCTTCCAGCCCTGTGAACGATAATTAGGCTAACTGGTAACCACACATTCGTGTCTCAGATACTTCAATCAGGCTCTACATGGTAGGTGGGTTTCTGTTGTCCTGGATCATTCTTATCCTGGGGAACTCAGTCTACTAACACAACATTCAGCATTTTCTTACATTTAAACTCTTTCTATTTACATTTCCATCCTTATTCAACAACTCTCCTACTGGTAGATTAAACATTTTCATAGCTTTTGCTATTGGTAAATATCAGAAGGTAAATAATATCTTTAGAGCACTTCAAAATTAAGCACAACTTGAGCAGCAGAAATAAAAAACATGATATCAAAATTCATTGGCCACAACACTAAAAGCCTTCTATAAGTAGAGGGCAAAGTTGCTCTTATCTTGAAGTTTTGTGGCAATGAAGTTCACAAAGTGAAAGTTCAAAGCACATTGGATGATTGAAATGTGCTAATTAAGGATCTGAAGACTGGGGATCTCAGGGCTTGAACATTGGTTATTTAGGTGCCTCTGGGGAAGTCTTTTTATTTTTTACATCTTTGAATTTCAGTTTCTTCATCTTTAAAATGTTAAATGCCTTTTGATAAAATTATTTTTCAATTAAAAGAACAAGGATAATTTTAGAAAGGCCTTTTAAAAAACTGGTATTCCAAATGTGGCTTTATTAATAATTATTTGAACATTTTCTTTAGTCCTTGTAAAACCTGGCCATCAGCTTCTAATTCTGTGAGATCATAATTCAATATATTAGTCTTTTGACTCTCAGATTAGTGTTAGAAAGAGCATAGCATTGTGGGAAAAAGTCAAATTTAGCTCTGTCAATAACTAAATGTCTATCATGTAAGCTTTTTAAACCTTGACTCTAAGCTAAGATTTTCCATGAACCAAAAACATTTAATTTTGTTTTTGAAGTTCTAACATTCTGTTCCTTTTTACTCTCTGAGGCTTGTATGTAGGTCATGGCTTTGCATCTGAAATGTTTACTATTTAATTTTATTTTGCGTTGAATATTTGATTGTGCAATCTGTTGGTTGTCTTAACCTAGTTATTGTAATTGCGAGCTGCTTATGTTTATGTTGCCTTATATTTATTCCTACTTTCTAAAACATTTAGGATAGCAGTTTTCACAGTAACGATTGCAGAACCCTGTCGGTTCCAGAGACTCTTTCAGAGGATCTACAGGGTCAAAGCTATTTTCTCAACAATATTAAATGCCCTTTTTTCATTGTGTTGACATTTGCACTGACAGTACAAAAGCAATGGTAGGCTGGTACCTCAGTATAAATCAAGGCCGTGGCACTAAAGTGTACTGGTAGCCATTGTAATCTTCACTGCCAAGCACCCCATGAGAGGAAAGACAGTTTCATTTAAAAATAACCTTGTTTGAAAGAGTAAGAATCATGAATGTTATCGAAGCTTTCCCCTCAAGTTTTTGTCTTTTAATATTATGTGTGATAAAAATGGAAGTGCTACTACATCCCATAATAACTTGGATGTGAGTGTTGGAGTTGGGAGCTGAACTAGGAGCTTTTTTTTAAAAAAAAATGAAATTTTATTTTACTTGAAAGAACAAGTGAACTTGTTCAGATGAACTATGGTTATTCAGACTTAGGTATTCGATATTATTTTCTCAAAAATGAATATGAGTTTTTTTACTTTGAAGACAACAACTGAGAATATTTTTTAGCAATGACAACATCTGAGTTTTAAGAGAAAAATTACAATCTGGGGAAAGTTGTATTACGCTACTATGAATATGGCAGCTTCCCAATACTTACAGACTTCTCTGGTGAGGTCAGTGGAGATATTGATGAATATAATTTTTCAATATTGCATAATGAAATGTGCCATCATTTGGAAGTTTTAGATAACTCATTTTCCAAATAACTGGTTTATGATGTTACAAAATCATGGATGCTTAACAGATTCATTCAAAGTGCAAGATAGAACATTGAATTTTAATGTAACAGAAAACAAAAGGTTTAATTTTTCAGATTCCATATAACAACTAACCATAATAAATTACAAATAAACAAGTTTTGGTATGTTATTAAAATGTCTAAAAAAACTATTAAAGGAGTCCTCTCTTTTCCATATGCCTATCTCTGTGAGGACACGTTTCTTATGTACCAAAACAAAATCTTACAATCAACTGAATGCAGATGTATACTTGTCTTCTATTAAGTCGGGAATTAAAGATATTTGCAAATACGTAAAACAATGCCACTTTCTCCCAAACATTTTTTAAATATAGTAATTGCTCATAAAATATGTTAACGTATAAGCTTTTAAAACAGATGTTTTAAGATTTCTGTTTTAATTTTTATATGAGAACTGCAATGATAAGAGTATAATAAGTACAAGAAAAGCTAAAATATATTGAGCATCTACAGTCCAGAGATCATGTTTAAATATGCATTATCTATAATCCTCACCACCTACTGGAAAATTATTCTTCAAATTATTTCTTTTTACTACTTCTAATTACCCTGTAAAGTTTTGATTTTAATACCTAATATCGTCAAATATCTTTTTTTCAGAGACTACTGCAATGACCTTAAAATATCGGATAACAACACTGAATTTCTTTTAAATTTCAATGAGTTTATTGATAGAAAAACTCCAAACAACCCATCATGTAAGTATGCATTAATTTATAATAATTGCTTCAGTATGGTTATACTTAAAATGATCAGATCTTGGTTTGTGTGATCATATTATATACTATGATAATCCTATTTGTTTGTTCTTGTGCTTATTTACTTTGTAGATTTTCAATCGTAAAATTTTATATATTAAATATCATTTCATTAGTAAGTGAAATCAAATCTTCAAAGCAAGGTAACAGATACTTTGCAAATAGTTAAATGTAAAGAGGGTATGCTCACCTTAGCTCTTCTCAAATTTAGGAGATTTAATTTTGAATAATCTTTGAAAATTTTCCATTGCATTGTTCCTGCTATATAGAGGAAAACATAACTCATTGTTATAAATTTATTTATAGCCTTCAATTTATATAATGAGTTTTAATATGGGTAGAATAAAAAAGTATAAAGATATGTCACTTAATGGTTTCCTTCCTGACATTTTACTTTCATGACAGTTAATTTCATATCTTAAATACATTCCTATAATTTCCCATTTTTTGAAAACAAAAATTTAATAATTTTACATTGTATTTGTCTTTCAGATAAATTTGCTTCATCATACTATGAGATTTCTAGAGATTCTAGATTCTTGGTTTTAAAACAATTTAAATCTAAACTGTTTTTTCTCCTTAAAATCATTATTATAAAGTACTGTCAGGAACAAATGCAGTGCAAATAGGAAATACAAAAGAAAAACAAAATTCATGGCACAATATACCTTAGTATTAAATATAATTTGAAAAAAGAATAATACACATAATTGACTTTTTTGTTTTCCCCTCCCTATGTCTCCCTTTTCCTTCTAATCTATTCTTTTTTTTTTTTTTCTCTTTCTGTCAGGAAGGGCTAACAAAGCACGTTATCAGTTATCAGAAATGAAAAATCTTCTTTAAGCTTCCCTAAATTTCAACTTATCTTATATGGAAGAAATATCTTCCTAGCACCTACTCCACTTCAGCACAAAATAGCTAGTGGCTTCAAAGAGCCTCTTGGAAAACTGTCATGGGCAGCTGAAGTCTACATTGATCATGCCTGAACATGATGGTTCTTGACCTTTCTACTCAGTGTGAGCTCACTAGGGACTGAGCCAGAGCCTTCTAAATGCCCTTTTATATCATTGTTTATTTTCTATTATAAGTAACAGCATTCCCAAGAGGAATGAAATTAATAAGATTGTTGAATTTTTCTTTTATAGATACCCAAATTGTGTAACACCACTCCTTGCAAAGATGAGTTATCATAAAGGTTTGTTCAAACCTATAGAATACATCTTCAGACACTAAAATCATGGAATATCTTTTTCAATGCCTCAAGTTCTAGTGAAGTATAAATAAGTGTAAAAAATCTCAGTCTGTTCTTTAATCTCTTCCTTTTTTACCTCACTGTTTACCTGCCTCCCCCATAATCCAATAGGATTTTTTGAGGTGATTATGTAACTATGTGAAGAATGAGAATTGACAGAATTTTAATTTTAAAAATTAAAAATAATAAAAAAAGTAATCTCATAAATTATATTTCCCTATACTATCTATTACATTGTAATCTTTTTTCATTGTATCCTTTCTTTCTTATTATTAACATATGTACTAAAAGTCAATATCGGTGATTGAAATTGTGTTTAATAGTTAAGGTGCAGTCAAGTTTAATTTGCTTGTAAAAGTACTTAATCCATTAGTGAAATTATAATTCTCACCTAATGTTTAAATTAACTTATATAACTTTCCTAAGTATTTATGATATCGAGGGTTATATCTTCTTCATATTCCCATTCTTAGTGTTTGTGAGACACTGTGTGTGTATGTAAATGGTAAAGGTTAGAGTAATTATCTGTTTTATATATTTATGTAGCCAGCTGCATGGAAACACTTTCAGAACACTATTTAAGCTTGGGGCATAATGCATATAATAATGAAATATAAATTGCTTTGAAACCTTGATTTATATTATAAATTATCTCTTTGTTTTACTAAAAGATTGGAGATCATTAAAATATATCATTTACTTTCCAATAGACTATTTTTAAAGTAATTCAGTTTTAAAATAATCTAGTAAAACAGAAAGTTATAGAATGACTTGAAATGTACCCTCCCCAAATATGTACTAAAATGATCTTTTGATCCTGGGTAAAAGGTATATTAATTAAAACTAATGAAAACATTTCTGCCTATCCCCCTCACCCTCTTATAGTAATAGGATGTAACTAAGGACATATATTCCTTAACTTCTGCAAAATGAAATTTTATCATAAATGTGAAATCTCAGAGCATACCTATAGTTTATTTCAGAGCTTCATGGGCTTAGAGCAGAGGAACCAGGAGAAAGGGAAGGCAGCAAAGCTTTTGTTTAAGAGTGAACTTGGACTAATACATTCCAGAAATGACAACCTGAAGCCTGTGCTCTCTGGCCAATATCAGTTGATTTCAAAACCAGTCTTGAATTTGTGCTTGTTTGTGATAATTATTCTCTTCTTTGCCACTCACTATATGACACTGAATTTGTCAAAAAAGTCAAAATTTACTCCAAGATTATCAATGCTCTGATATTTGGGATAGGGAAGATTTAAAATATCTTTTCCTATAACTTTTAATATTTTTACTTGACAATTTCAGAGTTAACAATTTCATGAGACAGATCCACACATATACATAAACAAACACAGTTTTATATACATTTACATATATATAAAACATTGTCCACAAAATTATGATGGTTTGAAATCATCATACTAAATTACAAAAAGAAACAAAAGAGGAATACTATTTCTTTATTGTTTCTTAACATGTCATATTTTGGGTATCTTTTTAATAAAGTTTAATTTGCCTCATTTAGTAATTGGCCTTTGCACTACTCAACCCAATCCATATCTTGAAGAGTGTGAGGCAAGATAAACAATATAGAAAACACAAAGAAAATGAATATGAAATATATTTTTAAATTCATAGAAATATTAGCCACCCTAATTTGCTATTGGAAATAGAAATTTTATTATTTTCATAATTAAAAATTATGGGTGTAATTGAGGATATCCTTTTTCTCTGTTAGGTAATACAGATTTGATTAATAGAGTCTTACTGGATGCAGGTTTTACAAATGAACTTGTCCAAAATTACTGGAGTAAGCAGAAAAATATGTAAGTATTTGTTCTTATTAATAAAAATAGATATTCTGCATATTACTTTAGCTTCTCCCTGGGAAATTTTTGGATAATGAGTCTCAAATTTAAAGTTTATTATTTATCTTTAATAATAATTTCTCAAGAAAAACATTTTACAAGTGTTGAGAACTTACATTTTCAGTTTTGAGTGTATTCCAGTACTAGTATCTACCATTACTCAGCTTTACACGTATATTCAGTTCAGTGTGAATTAAATAGACGTGTTTGTGGTAAAATAGGATTTCTGGTGAATGTACAGTTGGCTATCAAATAGCACTACCATACATCTGGTCAGGAAATTTGAGAAATCTGAGTGTGCTTCTTACTTATAATCTGTTGTCCACCTCATTTCCAATCACTAAATGCTAAATATTTCCCACTCTTTTTCATAATCAAGATACTAAGATTCCATTTCTAAGAAATTACTGCAACTTGTTTTTGTGCTTTTAAGTATTTTCCATTCCTCTACCCACAGCTTCCATTTTATTCTCTATATAATTCATACTTGCCAGAATCTTACTTCTAAAATGCAGTTCTAATTTCAAGATGAAGATTTCAAGGTGAAGTTCTCTAGCAAGGAATTCAAAGACATTCATGAACTGATGATCCTTCAGAAACTTGTGCTTGAAACTTCCTGTTTCTCTCCTTTTATTATTACACCAAACATCAGCAATCTTCACTAGCTTTCCCTTATACATTTTGCTCTCCATGGGATGTCTTCTTGCTTTCTCTGTCATCCCTGTCAATTTCTATTCCATCTTCAAAATGTAGCTCCCTCATTATTTCCTATGAGATACCTTCTCCTAAGCATTCTTCAAGTACTTATTTCATAGATATTTCAATTATTAAAGCATAATTGTGCATCTATTGATGTGTTTACTTTGGCTTCCTTTGTTTTAAGAAACTTGTTTTATTTCTCTTTTTGTCACCAACACCTTAGTATCTTAGCATAAATTTAGTAAAACAGTTCTTTCTTTTGTCTTCTATTCCAGCAAGGGAGTGAAAGCACGATTTGTTGTGACTGATGGTGGGATTACCAGAGTTTATCCCAAAGAGTAAGTTCAAATAACATCTGTAAAAATAGATACATTACAAGACTGTGCCAAAGATCTCTATAGTACTAGATAAGGCAGCCATTCTTTAGAGAAACTGATCATTGTTGGTCGATTAATTTGGAGTCATTGTTTAAAGTATTTGTACTATTAAACTATCCCATTTTTCTGAAAATTAGAAAATTCTCTAATAGTATTATTGTTTGTTCAAGAGGTGTTTAAAGACATTGTTCTCTTTATAAACAGAAGCTAAATTAACATAATGATGATAGCCCATTAGCAATATCTGTGTAGCACTTCATTGTTTTCACTATTGTTTGATGCATCTTATCTCTGTCTATAAGACACCAAAGCTTACTAATGTTAACTGACCTATTAACTTACCTGTCCGTATTACCTGCCTGGTAAATAGCAGAATAAAACTAGCAGTCAGGTTTTCCTGATTCTTAATATAATGCTATGTTGAAATATTTCTTAGTAATGAGTATCAGTTACACTATCACTTACTGCTAACTTCCTCAGACATACCTGAGATTTAGGCATATCTGTAAAGTTCAGTGTGTCCACAGAGGGAAAAGTAGGTTATCAGGTAGATTAAAGAATACAAATGATGAGCCATTTCCTTCTTAGGGCTGGAGAAAATTGGCAAGAAAACCCAGAGACATATGAGGACAGCTTCTATAAAAGGAGCCTAGATAATGATAACTATGTTTTCACTGCTCCCTATTTTAACAGTAAGTATTGCTTTGGAATTCAGCTTTTCTCAATTCCTTTTTAAAAATAAATTATGGCTATTATCTGCTCGCCTCAAATCACTATAAAATATGTTAAGTGCTCAGAATAGTTATTAAGCATATAGTATATGCAAGGCATTAGAAAAATAGAAAAGGAACATCCATTTAGTTGGACAGGTAAAATGCATACATGGCAAGCAGACATCCAATAATTTAAAGATGGCATGCACAATAAATAGAAACACATGTAGATGATCCTTCATATTACAACTGAAAATATATTGAAGAATGTCTAATGAATTAAATAAAATGAAATGGATTAATTCTATTTTATCAGCATTAATTACATAATATGATATTTATAAAAATTAATAGTTCATATTTTAAAATATTTTATCTGGTGATTTGCCAAAAACTTTCTAATGTAATCCTTCAACATCTTTGAGCATAGGTATTATTTAACCCCGTTTTTCATAAATCGGGAAACTGAAGTTCAGAGAATTTCAGAATTTTGTTCAGGGACATATATATCTTATAAAAGGCAAA